ACTCCATTTTTGTTCTTCTTTTTCACGACATCAATGAGCTTGGTCACGACCTGGTCAACTACGTAATCAACGTGTCTGCCACCCTGAGAGGAACAGGACAAGGGGTCTGAGGCCACTAAACCCCACAAAACTAAAAATATCTATTTAAAACTTCAAGCACATTCTTTAAAACATTAAAATATTTTTCACTAACATATGTACACTTACAAWCTAAAGTTTAGCCTGACTAAACACATTAAGGAGTTACCTTTGTGGTGGCAATGCTGTTAACAAAGCTGACTTGCTGGAAGCCTTTTTCACTCAAAGTTAAGCACACTTCCCACCGGGAATTGACTTCCTCATGGATAACTTTAAGTGTATTCCCAGTTTCATCGACCTTATCCTTCAGATAGAGGTCCACATAGCTGCGGAATCCTTTCACCTGCACGCAAATGAGAGCAGACAACTGGTTGATAACAGCTCCTATAAATACTTAATTCACATCCTCCTGCAAAGTGGGTTCAGAAATCCCTCCTGCATGTGTTCCTTTGCTGTGTGTGATGACAGGAATGGCTTGAACAGAATCTCACTGGTTAAATGGCACCCAAAAATGCAAATATTTGTGTTTCTTTGMAATGCTCACTTACAGGCAGCCTCTGTCCATTTAGGAAAACTTTGACATCCTTTGTGGATCCAGCAATATCATACGCTCTTCGAGACATCAATGCTACAATGTCCTTATCCAGAATGGTCATTTTGAATTTGGACAGATCAGGTTGGAAAGTGACACAGGTGTAATCATCTCCATCAAAGTATTTCAGCTTCATTTCTCCAGCCTTTCCCATATTGTCTGTCCAGGTCTGAGAAAAGGAGCTTTGGTGAGTTGCAAGTCAAACACACCCAAAAAACTACCTTAGTTTTTAAAAACAGTAAGTCAGTTTATGAGTTTTAGATACTTTTAAATTACACAAAAACTCTGGTTAAAAACCAGATTCTGATGCTGTCTTCTAATTTCATTATTCCTTTGAATTACATTGAGTGGGTCAAATTTACTCTAATCACAGTGCCCTCACTGCAAGGGRTGTCTGGAGTTTTGAAACAAAAACTGAGGGCCTCATTTGAAAACTTTACGTGTAACCTCCCTGAAAAGAGAAGTGTTCCTACCTGCTTGAATAACTTCTTGTATTCACGACATCCAGTTTCCACAGTAAACTTTTTGCTGAATATATTGCACAGTTTGGCTCCATAACCATTTCTCCCCCCTGGAATTAGAAGGAACATGGACTTGTGTTATTACCTTTGTCCAAAACCATCTAAAAGAATCCAAGACTAACTGGAGTTTCTCAACATCAGCCCAATCCAAAGACAACTGTCAACAAGCAACAACATTCTACAAGCTCACTATGCAACTACAAACTCGAATTTAATTAGGGTTTAAGAGGCTATTCAAAGACMATTTTTCCTTTTCCCATGTTTGCAGTTATTATGATTAAACAGAGCACAAAGACTTCTCTGATAGATTCAGAAGGTAATTTTCATAGAATCACAGAATGGTTT